CGCTCCTCTCTTCAGGCACTTTCAATTTCCAAGATCACGGTCTGAAAATGAAAGAAAAAGAAAACAGACAGAGTAAGAACAAAGCCTAAATGTTGAGCATAACGAACAGAAGCATCGAAAAACTTACCCTGAGAGCGAGGCCGGCTATGTTCCTCGATAAGGTAGCATCTTTTAGCTCATGGAGAGTTCGACTCTCCATGTCAGAACAAAGGGGACCGAGGGCACGAACCACGTTCTCAGTATCTTTTAATAAATCCCGATCCATAGGGATCGCAATAGTCCGCGTAGACCCCTCCAGTCTCACCTCCAGCTGGGTAAATCCCTCCTCCATCATCATCATCTCGTCAGCATCGAGATCAGAAGTCATAGCAGCCAGCCGTTCGGCTCCTATCACCGCAAAAGGAAGAGGTATTTTCCCAACGGCCTCCGCCGATATCGGAACATGAGATGCCAGTTCGGCGTCGTCCTCAAGTATTATGGTCTCCGTCTCACGGATGACAAAATCATCCCTTGCTGAATCCGCAACCCGAGCGACCCCATCACCAAAGTCCACCAATCTTCTCTTACAGGGGACCAAATTTCCTCCGCTCGGTGACTCCTCATCCTCTTTGTCCACTAGACGGTACAAAGGGGAAGCCGGAAGCTCTGCAGTCAGGATATCCACAGGTTGAGAAGAAACAGACGCTGAGGCATCATTAGATGGGGCCGACGATCGAGCAGACCTGGCCATGGTTGAGGAAGGAATAAAAGCAGATGATCATGCAGTCTAGTCGCGGTCACAGCGGGAATAGACGCCGAAGAGGAGGCAGCCTTCCTCTTATGAAACGCAGGAGGAGGAGCCCTCGGCCTCCTCGAAGATCCTCGGGATGAAAATAAATAAATCATAGCAAGGTAATCATCACCACCAAGAGCAAACTACAATAAGTAGGCGACCATGAGGCCAAAACATCAAAAACATATATAGATAAACTCACTGGCCAAGGAAAGAGCAGGCCCGAACTTCTTGAAAAAGCTCGGCCACTCACGAATTCCCATGATATGAGGCAGAATCTGGCCAACCCAGTCAGAAATGTCCGCGACCAAAGGAGGGGCGTAGTCTTGGCTGCACAAAGAAGGGATAAAATTTCAGGGCCTATGACTAAAGCACACAGATCAAATGTTTTAACAAAAGAAGAATAGACACTCACGAGTGTAGTTCCAAGTCTCAGGGAAGCCGTACGCGTTGGCCACCATGTCTTCAGTTCTGACAAAGAAGAAGTTGTGCCAGAACTGTCGATTTGCCTTGTCGTCCATCTTCATCACCGGGCATTTGCCTCCTCGATGGCGAATGTTCAATATTGCCCCTATAAAAACTAGGGGCGAAGAAATGCATCAGATGCCGGAGTGTGATCTCGACCCCGACTAACTCAGCAAATTTAGTAAGCATCCTAATGAGCTTATAGATATATGGGGCGAGTTGAGCCGGGCACACACCATAGTAGCGACAGAATTCCTCCGCCAATAGGAGAAGAGGAAGAGTGTAGCCGACCTGGAAGGGATATGCATAGAACGAGCAATACCCGGGGCGGTGGATTTGTACCACATCACGCCCTGCTGGGACCAAATCGATACGGGCAATAATGTTGAAATTTGCCCTAAGCTCTTCTTGATCGGCCTCTTTCATCGCCGACTCAGAAACCTCGGGCTCGTCTTCAGGCGCCTTTGAAAAATCAGACCTAACTTTCTCACTGCGAGAAATTATTTCCTCCACAGTAGGAAAGTTCCCATCTTCGAGGCGACAAAGACGCCATCAGAGTGAGGAGGCATAAGCACCGCCAAAGGGACAAGATCAGTTCCTACACCAGAACCAGAGGATACATTAGCCATATTTCCGATGAGAGAAAGGATATTAGGGAAAAGAAGGATTAGAAGCAACATGAAGCACTAAGACCAGGAAAAAAGACTTACAGCAAGGGAGGAAGGAGAAGAAGTCACAAGGTTTGATGAGAAAAACACATAAAGAACAAATGGATGTCATCACATCTCTATTTATAAGAGTTCGGGCATCAAAACCAAGAGATTATGCCATCATTACCCAGCACTGGAATCGACGCGGCAGCTCCAACTGACAGTCGCACGAGAAACGACGCAAAGCATCGGAAAAATGCACCATAATGACGCATTATGTCATGACGTCATTCTAGTGCAGAAACGACGCAACCTCAAAAGTTGTGACTCACGAACGGCCTACTCTCCTTGACCATAACCAACAAAGTCCGCTCATCGAGGTCGTCTGAGGACGACCTCAATAAGCTGAGGGACTAACTGTATAGGTCAAAATCTACCACGGAATATTTATGGCGAGGAAGTATTGAGGAAAACTCAGTCGAGGTCGATTAGGAAATGACGAAACTCGTGGTCGGGATGCTTATGATGGTCGAGGACGAGGTCCGTGAGAAGAATCATAACGTCTAGTTTTTAGAATAGGATAATATTCTATTCTCTGCACATGTACTATTAGGATTTATTGGGGATATGTCTCATATAAAAAGGACAAAAGAGAAGGAAAATGGTATGTAATATTCAGGGGATAAGAAGAGATTTCTGAAAAAGATTCTTTCTCTAGCAAAGATATAAACATTATATTTTCATCAAGATTCTTGTTCGTATTATTCCATACTTTTCCATCAGATCCGAGAATAGTTCGAACATTCTAGGATTTATCTGTCACTCATCACTGTTAAGAGGAATAATCATCTAGTTCATTCTTTATTGGGTGAATCATTCCTCCTATTTACTTAAATATCATTTATTGTTATTTATTGCTAGTTTCTCCTCCATTATTGCTCATACGTTTTGGAATATTTAATGCAATTGTTATTGTCAATCTCTCACTAGATCTGTCCCACATTATCTACACTTCCAGGATCAGTATTTAGAGATATTATCATTAACTAGGTTTAACCGTTCATTATATAAATGCAATAATTTTAATCGAAAGTTATACTTTTTGATCAAACAATATGTCCATATTTTTAAAATATCACTGGGTTTTTATTGGCTTGAACTCGGAACATATAATAAAATCATTTATATATGCATAACGGATGGCTGGATGATGTAGATGGGCGAGAGAGGACTGACAGGTTATTTGACTTTGTAGACCGGTAAATTTCTTAAGAAAGAGAACATATGACCCTTAGGCAAATAGGAAGAATTTCTTCCGCATTAGATGGAGAGCAAAGTATATGAACGTTAGCATCACCTAAAACGATAGACTTAATAAAGGATCGATGGTCTCATTCCATAATGTCCATAGTTAAAAGTCTACTTCGATTTCAACACTCCGACAAAATTGTTGGTTTTTTTGTGCTCTTAGATAAGGTCTTTCACGAGCTCCACATAGCTTTGTGTTTTCCAATAGTTTCCCACCTCCTTTGAGTTGGTCTCTGGCCACAATTTTTNTATATGAGAATTAACCTAAATATATATTAGAATTAACCTAAATAATCTTTCGCTCAATCCCTTAAACTAAAAATAGTTAGCGGATATATAATATTTAAGTTAATTCTTCTTATATGGGATCTTTATGCAAATAGCCAGATAGATTTATTGTTTATATTTCTTAGCCGGTATACATAGATTATGCCTGATTATATACAGTTATACATATATTATACATGAATTATACTTATATTATACATCCGTCAACTATTTTTAATTTAAGCGATTTGGTGAACGACTATGAGGTGCTCGTAAAAGACCAACACAAAGCTATATATAACTGCATAAGCTTCAATAAACAGTATGTATACGGTCGAAATAGATTTCGGCCTTCGTACGATTGATCGAGGTCAAAACATAATGTATCGAAGTAAGACTTCGAGATGAGTTCCGAAGATGGTACAAACAAGCTTCGAGCCCGAGGGACCGATCAATGTCGAGCTCGATATCCTTATCAAGCTCGAATCCAAGTCGAACTATGATGCAAAGTAAAGTTATCGAACTTATGATTCAGAGATCGACCAACATTGGCCCCGAATCAATTCAAGGGTCCAAGTCAGAATCGGGCTCAAGTCAAGATCGAGAGCTCGAGTCAAAATCAAAAACTCGAGTCAATATCGAGCTCATAGACAAGAGCCGTTGCAATCCCACTAGAGGAGAGAATCTTGGCAGGAATTATGGAAAAACTGATTTATCATGGATCTTCTACTATGTATTTTAATTATATCTAAAGTAAGGTCCCTCTACTATAAAGGGCATGGTTATTATTTCTATAAGGACCAAGTTTTTACTTACATTGTAATTCAAGCACCATATTCTTCCATAATCAAAAATTATTCTTTTAAGCTTCATTAATTGATCCATTGTGCTAAGTCCTAAAAGTCATTTTCTTTCCTACCTTGTTTATATCGCATTCTTTACAATCCATATTCGATATTTCTATTTATCCCTACGGTTTGTATCAAGTTATATCATATATCCTTAGAACTACGTACAAATTCAACTCTATCCATTTTTCGGGTAAACACTGTGAGCACAGTAGGTAAATTGCTACTCACTTAAAACTAAAATCTAACTAAATCATAAAAGATAGTAACTTCAGCGTGTAAGTACGTTAAGATCACTCCTAATTCGAATTAATTTCCTTAACTTCTAGACTAAATCTTATAAAACCAACTCTCCACAAGTCGAGCTTTTCATTGCCAGTAATTGACATGTATCACTTCCTTCAAAAATGCTACACAAGAAGTCGCAAAAAAAAAAAAGAATTATAACTTTTTAATAAAGTGAATTCTTTCCTCCTCTAAAACAATTGGAATACCAAAAATAATAACTGATTGAGGTTCTAAAAGAGAAACAAATTGATAATAAATGTAATACTAGTAGCTGAAGAGAGAAAGAAACAGACAACATAAAGCAAAAAATCCAACAAAGTGAACGCAACCGCCAAAACTCAACAACAATTGAAATAATCTAATATCATAATGCAGTTGAAGATATTTTTTTGGTTGTGGGGGGATGTGAGAGGGGAGGGTTGAATTTTGAAATATTAGTTTCTGTAAATGATATAGTGAGTTGAAAACTAATGAATGTTATATAAGTTTTGCAAACTATAACATGAAGGGTTTCTCCCTTTGAAAAGGAAGAACAAGAATCTTGTATTTTTTTCAAACTTACCCACTTCTTTTTCTTTGTGCCAACTTCACTAACTTCACTAACTCCAGTCTTCTTGATTATGCTAACCTGTGAAGAAATATAAGATTGGTTACTCTGGTAGTTTAGAAAATTGTGAATACAAGATATAAAAAATAGAACAAAGTCAAATAATAATTTTTATTTCCTAATATGATGGCGTTTCAATCATAGATCTTTATTTTCCTAATCTAGACAAGAGTCTTTAACTTATTCTTTCTTCGAGGTTCTACAAGAGTCTAAATAACTTATGTAGGAGGGTAAAATCATGCTTGATGGGAATCTTATCAACATACTAGAACTTAACTACTAATAAAAACTTCTCAATCAAATCCCTTTATAATATGTTTCATATTAGTAATGACAACTCCATAATCACTCAAGATACTTCTATTAATTGCATTTGGAAGATAAGGTCGCTAAATAAGATAAAGTAAATTTGACTTCTATGCCAAGTAAAACTACCCAATAATTATCTCTTAAGTAAGAGATTAATTTAGCTAGCTGAAATGAATCATACATCAGAATATACCCTTCAAATTATTTTACACTCAAGCAGCACATAATAGCCACATATCCAAAAAAAGAAAAAAGGCAGACATTAGAATTCTGAACCTTATAAGAAATATGCAAAAGAAGAAACCAAATAACTTATAAATCAAACATCATATGATGTTAAACAATAATCCAACATTCTACGTGAATAAAGAACAAATGAATCATATATATGAGCAAAAATAAACTTGTAAAAACTTACGATGTGACCTATTTTATACGACCAATCAGTCGCACTCCAACCATAAATATAAGCAAATAACTTTTACATAATCCAATATAATATTTTCTTAATCCTTAAGCCCTTGGTAAAGTAATTTTTCTTTTCCATGGCAGAGATAAATCAAATTGTGCAACTAAATATGGCAAACATAAACCGCCTTTTAGATTTGATTGTCGCATTAACTTCTTTAGGTCACAGGATTACATGAAATTGTCCTAAAGAAAAGCTCCTTATCAATAAAAGTTACTTGAAAGAGGGAGACAAACCCATGTCCCTACAAAAGACCACCGAGTCAATAAGCTAGAGATAATTCAGTTGAGAAGAAAGGGAAAAATGATGTGGAATTTGCTAGAGAGAAACAATGAAGATGATAACCCAGGCTATTAAAACTAATCCACTCTGACTTCCCCCTGCTGGCTTAGGGCCCACTGCTAGCCTCTATGATCATCACAGCACCACAAACTTTAGCAACTATCACTGACCACCCACATTTATTATAGCTTGAATTTCAATAAAATGCACATATGCAAGAGAAGGAAAAATACTCGGTCACTGCAAAGTTTTTACCAATAACTTAAACCGACTATGTGTGCTTAAACAAAGCATTCTTCTTTTGAAATTATCGGAGCCAATCTGGTTAAAGTGCAACCAGCACAATTAAACCCTTAGGCAATAATTCCAATATAATGTAGATACGTAAAAGATTATAATTAATATTTTCCCAAAATAGCACAAGCTACAAATCCAAGATTCTTTAAAATGGGAATGCAACTATCCCTGAAACTCATGTGAGGTACATACCCAAAAAACATATACATAACTTTCTTAAGTTGAAATTAGATACGAACAGAAAGTAAAAGCAATAAACTAAGGCTACACCCATAGTAACATCAATTCGTAATTTATAGTTAAAAAGATATAGTTAAAATGAGCTTACGAACTCACCTTCTTTGTGTGAACAACGAAAACAGGTGATAGTGATTATTGGTGATCGTCCATTGAGTTATCAGAAACCTATCACAAAAGAGGAAGATTACTACAATTAAAAGAAAACTAAATTACAAGATTATCGTAAAAACAATAAATTTTTGCTAAAGAGCACAATATTTTTTACCTGCTCATTACCAAATAATTTCCTATTTGAGCCAATAGTAATACCCAAAGACTCTAGATATGCACCTATACCCAACTTTACTTTCTCGTCTATTTTTGCTTCCATATCCTTTGTTGCTTCAAATATTTTCCCCCCATCTCTTTTATTTCTTCTTTTGCTTCAAATAACTTTTTCTCCTTCGCTTCTATTTCTTCTTTTGCTTAAGACAATTTTTCTTCCATCTCAATTCTTATGGCGGAGGTTGTTTTTTTAACTTCTATCTCAACCCTTCTATCAAATTCTCTTTGCTCAGCCTGGGATCGTTTATATGCAGGGCCATAAACAAAACTTGAAGCTGCTCTTTTTCCTAGAGTTCGAACATTTCCATGAGTGCCTGGTCCCATAACCTGTGCATACACATCATTGGGAGCACTTCCACGGACATTTAACTCAGGATACACCTTAGCAAGTTCATCCATTTCTTTCTTTTGGAAATAAAAGGTAAAACAATAAAAAGTTAATAAAATTTTATTTGGAAAGAAAGTAATTTTATATTCATAAAGAATGAGAATTTACCATAGTTTCATCAGCTATCTCATTTACTGGTTGTTTATTCTTTCTCGTATGTGTTTCTTTGAACACCTCAATACGACTTGGTTTTACACCATTCTTCTTTGTCATCTGTTTAAATAGTAAAAAATGAATTGCAAATATATTCAAGAAAATAAGAATTGATATATAAATTGCAGAAAGCTTATAGTAAACATGGCATACATTATCTATAATTTGAGAATGACTTTTTCTTCCTGATGTGTGTGGCATACTCAACTTCCTTCGACTTTCTTTGTTCCTCTCACTTTTTTCCTAGAAAAGTTACACATAATTTTATATATTAGAGATAATTCATGGCCAAACATTTTTAAAAGAAAAAAGATAAAAAGTAAGAAGAATGACAGAGGAAAAGCATAATAATATTTAAAGGAAAAAGTGGGATCCGCATGCGGAATGCGCTAATAGCATGTGCTAAGAGCAAGAGAAGAAGATGTTTGATGCTTGGAGAATACCTTTGCTTCATTAGAGCTCCAATAATGAACTAATGCACGCCACTGGTCTTCTTCTACCTTATCTGGACGTTTAGCTAAGCGTTCAATATCGTTGTTATATGGCTCATAACCGATTATTTTTGCTTCATGCTTCCATTCTTTCCATTTAGATCCAACCGATATCATCAACATAAGTCTCATATCCTCAGTAGCATCAGTATTTTCCTGCAAATATCAACATATAACACATGTATAAAAGTATAATATCAATAAGCATCTTAGTATATAATATTTTTTTTATTTTTCTAAGCACCTTAATATGATCCCATATCTATTCTTGTACAGTTTAGGCACAAGCCTCCAATCTTTATGATTTAAGGGAGCTAAAATACCATTTCGTGCTATGACACCAAGTTTTAAACTCAATCTAGATGCATCAGGCCCAATAGCTTGGCTAAGATCATTGAACTCAACATGTAAAATGCCACCATCTTTTTCCCATCCTAAGTGAATCATAGTAGGACCCCTAGGTCGCTTAGATTGCTCTTCACTAGCACTAGAGTCTGCAATAACCAAATATAAAAAAGAGGTTGCTTATGAAAAAGTGTACAAATACACAAAGAGTAACTATTCAAGAAAGATAAGATATTATGCAGAATAAGTACCTAGGGAATTTTCTATTTCATGTGAATAATTTCTTGATTTACCAGATCAGATAGCTTGTCCTTCATTTTGTGTCCAGTTTTGAGGTGGTTGAGGCATTGCCGCACCTCCCATTTGTTCTTCTTGTTGCTCCGAAAAATCAGGCAGAAGCATTTCTTGACTGGAATTTCTCTATCTTTTTCTTGCCATCACAATAAAGTTGCTCAAATACTATAGTTCCTGCAAAATTGAAAAATATTTTCTACTATCCAAAAGTATAAAATAATATCAAACTAACAAGCCAAACAAAAAGACACATGCACATATGAAATTTAAACAACTAAAACGCATAGTAAGAAATCCCCAACACGATGATCTATATATGTTCAATAACAATCTTTACTAAAATAATGACAAATAATAAAAGTAACTAAGATATGTCGTCTTCTTCATCATATGTCTCATTACTTTCCAAAGTAAGTGGGTCAATTTCTATTCCCAGCACACCTTCTCTAACCCATTCAATATCCTCTTCATTTTCAAATATAGTATCATCCAGCTGTTGTTCTGGCCACAATTTCATGTGCTCTTCCATATGCTCATTTGCTGGTTTGTTTTTACCTAAATTATAAAAACCTCTTGGTTTAATTTCAACTATAATCTGCCATTCTTTTGCCATTGGATGATGGACATAAAACACATGTTGAGCTTGAGAAGCAAAGATCAAAGGTTCATTTGATGGGTGCTGCCTTTTCTAGAGTAGATGAGAAAAATTAACAAGAGTAAATCCGTAATCATCTTCCACAATAAGCCCATTGTTATTGTCCACCCATTCACATCTAAATAGAATAAACTTGAGGTTTGCGGTATAATACAACTCAATTATGTCCGTGAGAATTCCATAAAAGGTGACTTCTGCTAATATGGGATTTCTGTCTCTTGCGCTTGCATAGCTCTGAGTGGCAGCCTTTACCATAACTCCACTATTTTGTGTTTTTAGCTTTGCATCACGAGACTTTGTTAGGTATCTAACTCCATTACTTATGTATCCGCTCATCCTTTTTGCTTGCTTTGATGGGCCAATAGCTAGATTTTGAATTTCTTCTGGTATTTGCTCACCTGCCATATGTATCTTCTCAACCTATCAATTATAAATAAGCAAGAACTAATTAAAAAATGATATTCTATATAGTGTGTGTGGGTGTGTAAAAGCATTTTAGATGGTTCACAATTACATATTTTCTAAACCATATGTGAAAATTTTCATTGTGAATCCGATCCACATCATGTCTCGATAGACGAGGATTTTGCTTCTTGATTTCTTTTATATGCTCACTCAAAAAGTAAAACACATAAAAACTTAATAAAGAAATTATAAATATTATAACCTAATAATTAATTATAAAGCAGAATATTATTGATACTTACTCGCGATATGGAGTTATGGTAGCAGAATTAAATAAAACATATCTATGTGCTTGGGCATGGGTAATGTCATCAAGCATAAACCCGTCAATTTTAGTTGACTGACGACCCTCTTGATTTGGAATCTCATTATACAAACCATAATTTCTTAAAGGTCGATTTAACTTTGTCTCCACATCATGTAAATATCTTGAGCAGAATGTCATGCACTCTTCTATCCAATATCCCTCTTCAATTGAACCTTCTGGATGGCTTCTACTCCTCACATAATTTTTAAGAGTAAGCAAATACATAAAATAATAAATAATATTATAGTTCAATATAATACTTCATAAATACTATAAATAAGAATAACGAAATGGTACCTTTCAAATGCCCACATCGAACGGTATTGTGGAGGTCCACCAATCTTTGCCTCTTCAGCTAAATGGATGACTAGATGTTCCATGATATCAAAAAAATATAGAGGAAATATTCTCTCCAGATGACAAAGAGTTATTGCAACTCGATCTTGGAGCTTTTCTAATTCACATATATTCATAACTGTTGAACAAATGCCCCTAAAAAAGTTACTTAATTCGATAATTGGCTTAAGGACATTCATGGGAAGGAGGCCTCGCAAAGCAATAGGAAGGAGTTGTTACATTAAAATATGGCAGTCATGACTCTTCAATCCATGCACAGTGCGTTGATTAAGATCAACACAACGTGATATATTTGAAGCATATCCATTTGGTACTTTCACATCTCTTAAAACTTGTAAGAGCATATCTTTTTGTGCATTGCTCAAGGTGAAACATGCCGGAGGTAGATAGTATTTGCCATTAGCTCTTTTTTTAGGGTGCAACGCCTTTCGAATCCCCATCTCTTGTAAATCCAAACGAGAATTCAGATTGTCTTTTCCTTTCCGGTCAACATTTAGTAATGTCCAAAATATATTGTCAAATACATTCTTTTTAATATGCATTGTGTCAAGATTATGACGAATCATATTATCTTTCCAGTAGTCTAACTAAAAAAATATGCTCTTTTTCTTCCATAAATATTGCAACATGGCATCATCAACATGATCAGAATTCTTACATTTTCTTTTCTGGGATTTGGTCGATGGACATTTTCCGAATTTATTTTTAATACCTTTCAATTGCTTAAGAACTTCAATACCTGACAAACATTTAGGTGCTGCCTCTAACTCCTTAAAACCATCAAACAAAACTTTATCTTTTTGAAACTTGTGCCCATGGGGTAACCATCGCATGTGCGACATGAAACAATATTTTCGCCCATATTTCAATCTCAGAAATTTAGTCTTGGTCAGACAACATGGACAAGCATATCTGGTTTTCACACCATATCCTGATAAGTTACCTAGTGCTGGAAAATCACTGACTGTCTAAAGTAATGAAGCACGCATTTGGAACATATGATTCTTTGATGCATCATAAGTGTCAACACCAACCCACAATTCTTTTAACTCATCAATTAACGGTCGTAGATAGACATCAATATCATTGCCCGGTCCATGAGGGTCATCAATAATCATTGATAATATCATGTATGGTTGCTTCATGCACAACCATGGTGGCAAGTTATATGGAACCAAGACAACTGGCCATGTGCTATGTGAGATAGACATAGACTTGAATGGATTAAATCCATCTGAAGCCAATCCAGGTCTAACATTTCGAGGATCTTGAGAAAAATCTTGACGCGATTCATCAAATTTTCTCCAAGCAATACTATCAGCAGGATGCCGCATTACCTCGTCTTTAGTGCGACCTTCTGCATGCCATCTCACATCAGTAAATGTTTTAGATGACATAAATAATCTTTGAAGCCTCGGTATCAATGGAAAGTATCTAAACACCTTTGCTGGAATTTTTGAGGTTTCCAAACTACCAGATTCACCTACAAATTGTTTGTATCTTGGAGTTTTGCAAAACTTACAATCAGTTCGATCTTTTGTCTCACTCCAATAGATCATACAATCATTTGGACACGCATGTAATTTTTTGTATTTGAGTCCTAAATCTTTAATAATTTTTTTTGCATCATTAAAGGACTTAGGTAACATTTTACCTTTAGGAAACACATCTTTTAACAACTCTAACAGGATGGAAAATGAATTGTTACTCCACCCATTGAGACACTTTAAATGTAATAGACGAACAAGAAAAGAAAGAAGTGAATATTTGCTTCCGGGATATAATTCACGCTTTTCTTCCTTCAATAAGTTAAAAAACTTCTTTGTTTTCTTATCAAATCCCACATTATGTTGATTTAACCCACCAAAACTATCACCACGAGTGTCCGTATTAATAAAGTCACTAGTAGGAGGAACTCCAAAAGCATCATGCACCAAGTCTTGTATCTCATCACCTCTATCTTATCTATCCACAGACATTGATGAAGATGATGTCTCACCATGAAAAATCCAATTAACGTAACTAGGTAGAAATGCATCAACCACAATATGTTCAACAATTAACTCTTTTGGGATAAATTTCATATTACGGCACTTCCGACATGGACACAAGATTTCAGATGCATTAGGCCTATCTAATGAGGCAAAATAATGAAACTTTTTGGCTCCATTCTCATATAAGGATCATTCCTATTCGATATGTTTATCCAACTCTTATCCATTAATAATAATCTATATATATAGCCAAAAAACAACTAAAAGAGATTAATTATAGATAGAAACTACAAAGAGTATATCGCAGAATACAAATATTTATTTTAATTTATACACTTTACTAATGAATATACAAATGTGTTCATTCAAGGCATGGAAAAAAAAACATATCTAGTTTCTTTAGTTTTTTTCAAAAATGAATCTTACAAACTAGTTCACTCTATTGCCACAATATATAATATTTTATCATGACTAAGCAAAATCAAACTATAGAATACCATAATTGACATCTTGAGTAAATATAACTTTTAAAAAACAAGTATCAAATTGATGTTTGATTGAACTTGATTTAGCTCTATTTTAGATTGAACTAGTAAATGACATCATACTAATCCAATCTTTTCAAATAGTACCATTATTTCGATACATAAAGTTTAAGTATTACAAACACTTTGCAAGCAAACTTCTAAACAACTAGGAAAGAAGAAACCTACTAAGTATTTTTAGAACACAAAAATCTCATATTAGAGATATGAATAAAGCAAAACAAATTAAAGAACTGCCCCAAAAAAATGAACTTTCTTCCATCTATCATCAATTCGTCAAACTATGTCTCATCCCCAAATAAGTTAGAGTTGCCTATAAAAATCTAAGTCTATTGTGTTCGTTATTATTTATCTGTTCTTTTATATTTAAATCAATATCCTATTTCTATGTTGGCCAAACAACCTACGTCCCTCTTCCTTTATCAGGTTAAAGAAATTAACATTCTTCAAAAAAAATCCGAACAACTAAGAAAAAGAAAGAAAATGTTTAACCCAAATCTGAAAAATTAAGAAAAAGAAAGAAATCTGTTAACCCAAATCCAAACAACTAAGAAAAAAAAAATTATCAACTAAACTGGTACCTTGACTTTGTAGAAAATAAGTTTTGTGAAATCTCAGCAGCAAAAAATTCGGTGATAAAACTTTTTTCTTCTCCAAGTATCATTATAGTACAACCAAATGTAAAATATTAGGTTTTTTGAAGAATTCTAACTAAGGAAGGAAACTGTATTTTTTAGAATTGGGAGGAGGGAAGCAAAATTCTTACCGCCAAAATCTTTTCCTTCTAAATCTCCAATACTCTCCATACATAGCTCCTTGTAGAAATTCTAGCCAAACCCAATTTGAGATTTTTTGCCAAACCCGATTCGAGATTTAGATTGAGAAAGGAGCGGATAGGTACTGAGGACTTCAAAGGCTTGGAGTACGGCTAATTTCACTTGTGTTTTAAATTGTGGTCAATGGTGGGTTCCTTGGTTCTATCAATATTTTTGTTTTATTTTAAATATTTCAATCTTTAAATAAATCCAACATCTAGTAAGTAGTAGTAATAATAATATATATATTTTTACTAAACATTGATATTTTAATAAAAAGTTTTAAATAGGCATAATATTTTAACGTGATACGACATGGAAATTTTATTTAATATCGGGTGAGGTGTAAGCTTCGTGAACCTTTATATTTTTAGTTTAAGAAATCGAAAAGAAAATAAAAAGATAGAAAGTACATTAAAAGTTTTAAAAAAATCAAAGGATTAAGCAAACTCATAAAAAACCAAAATATTTAACAGTTTTACCAGTGTAAATAATGCAATAGTGTTAAAATTATTATCAAAAAACACATTTTATTACTTCCCTAAAATGCTAAAAGTTATATATTATTATCAAACTACAAATTTAGTTACCTTCCTAAAAGTAAATAATCAATAAACTTTATAAATATTATAATTCAAAATATTACTCCTTCATAAATAAATATAAAATTACTTTTAAATAGTAAAATAATAAAAGTCTCATAATAATTTTGGAAGATAAAAAAACTAAGAAAAAAAATCAATTATAGCGAGTGAAGATATAAAGTTCGGCTATATATATATTCAGAAAAAATGTTCAAATGATATTCACCCTCACGATATTCTCACTTAGTAAATATGAAATACTATGACTCGTTATTTGAGTTAAGATCATTCAATTGTTAATGTATTTTGAGGGTCAACACTATTAATTAGAAATTTTAACATATGATATACCTAGTAATTGTTGAGTGAGCCTCGAACGTTGAGCGATCGGTGTGTTTAGGGCGCATAACCATATGTTTGGGATATAAGCTTCACAAATTAAGTCATACACTTGAGCCGTTGCAAACACTACTAAAAATCTGCTAAAAACCGACCAAATATTTCCGACCAACGTTGGTCGGTCAAAAAACGCGATCAAAAACCGTCCAAGTTGGATGGAAACTGGGGAAAAAAAATTACATTTTTTTTAAAACTAAATACCGACCAACGTTGGTCGGTAAATTGGTCAACGAATTGACCCAGCTGGTCAGACAAAAAAATTTTGGATTACCGACCAACGTTGGTCGGTAATCTGGATCCAATTTTTAAAATTTTAATAATTATTTTATTATTTAAAATGTTTTATAATATTTAAGAATTTATATTTAAAATTACCGACCAACGTTGGTCGGTTAATGTAGGGGAAGCATTTACCGACCAACTTTGGTCGGTAATTGTTATTTTCTGCAAAATAACCGACCAAAGGTCGTCAGTTATTACGTCAACATTGGTCAAACTTTCGAATTACTTTTATATTTACTATCTAAATAATATAAATATAATTCGTTAACACTTTTGTAATACAAATAATGAATACACTAACATATACTATATATAACATGCTATTTGTAAATTGATTCATCGACTTATAACTTAATTAGATGCATCGATGAATATTAAAAACAAAACGATTGACCTATATCGACTAATAGTGAAAACAAAACGTCTCGACCTATATCGATTAATATAGCTATGCCATGCATTATTAGTGATGAATGAATGAAAAATAAAAGAATTAATACTAAACATCTTTGACATATATATATATATATATAAATCACAAATTAAATAAACGAAAGAAGCTATTAGTATTAAGTAAACGAGTTAAATTAATAGGTCAAACATGGTCAAACTTTAACAAGCTATATATATACACACTAACATATACTATAACAAGCTATATATATAGTTAAAGTATTACAGTGAAGTGTGTTTGTGTGTGTATATATATATATATCGCTAGGACCACAGGGTCGGGTTCTTTTAGGGATAGACTTGGGAAGATACTAATTAGTATCTTTACTTTATCATCAAATATATCTATTTGTAAATTGATTCATCGACTTATAACTTACTAAGATGTATCGATGAATATTAATCGATGATTCATAAAAACGTCTCGACCTATATATCGATTAATCTATATCATGCATTATTAGTGATGAACGAATGAAAAAAGAAGTTATTAGCATCAATTACAATATAGTGTATGTGTGTGTGCGAGAAATTACTCACATACGTAATTATAATTTAGAAAATTTACTTAGATAGATGCTATTATAATTTATTAAAATTAAATAGTTAATATAATTATTTATAAAGATTATGCTTATAGTTTATAATTATTTATAATAATTGCATAGTTAAATAAAATAAATGCTTGTAGTTTATAATATTTTTTATAGTTTATAATATTTTAAGAAAAAAATACAAAAAAAAAAATTTAATTTTTTTTTTAAACCGACCAAGTCAACACTTAATGTACCGACCAAAATTACCGACCAACTTTGGTCGGTAATTCTGAAATCAGAGAATTGAAAAACGGGGGAAACCCCCATTTCTCTCTTATTTTCCCCTCTCTTCTCTATTTCCCTCACTCAAAACCTTCCCCTCTCCTTCTCTATTTCCCTCACATAAATCTCATTCCCCACCCCGCGTTGCCACCGCCCAGCCCTCGCCGTCGCCGCTGCCACTGCCACTGCCGCCCCTCTCCTTCTCCATCTCCTAAAAATTCTAGGTTTGAATTACAACCCATTTATTTATTATTTCTAGGTTTTGTTAATTAGTTATGAATTAGTTTCAATTGATTAGTGTTTCAATTATTTGAACATTGCATTTTATTGAGGATTAGGGTTTAGGTCTTGTTTTAATTAGTTTTGTTAATTAGTTTTATTAACTAATTAGTTTTGTTAATTAGTCAATTAGTTATGAATTAGTTTAGTTTAGGGTATGGGTTGAATTTCTTTAGTTTAGTTAGTTTATGTTTAAACTCGTAGGATATGAATTGAAATTTTAGTTTTTAGGATTTGTTCTTGTGAATTGAACTTTTAGGATATGAATTGAACTTTTAAGATATGAATTGGACCTTTTGGATATGAATTGAACTTTTAGGATATAAATTGGTGTAATTAGAAAAAAATAATTATCTTGAATTAACTAAAAAAGATAATTAATTTATAATTGTAGAATAAATTAATTTGTTCTTGTGAATCGAACTCTTAGGGTTCGGGGTCGAGAAAAGGGTAGGAAGGGAAAGAGGAGGGTAGAAAATAATACTTTCT